AAAAAATACAAAATTTTATATTTATTTGCAAACAAATAAATAATTGTTTGTCAAAACATAGTTATATTATTCACTTTTCATGGATTCACAATTCACTTTTTAGGGATCAGGTAACAATTAATCAGAAAAAAAAAGTGATTAAGTATTTTCCGAAATATAACCCTCCCCAAATATATCTACACATTATTTATATACAATTTTATTTATAGTTATTTTCACGACTTCTTTTTTTTTTTTTTTTTTTATGGAGTATTAACATAGTTAATGGATATATGGATGATGAAGTGTCTCGCGTAACAGATACTACCATCAATCAAACTTGTCGATAGGTTTAGTACTTACCAAACATGTTGCAATACTTATTCAGATCGAAACTAGGGGGTTAATCATGATGAAAAAATATACAGCATATTTATAAATAATTGCTTTATTATTCTAATAGAACATACATAACATGGCATGATTTATTCTTTAGGATATCAAGTATTTAATAAAAATAAAATAAATAAATAACAGTTTAGCTATTTACATCAAGTTCGATGTTCTTAAACATTATTTATGCTACACAATAATTAAAATGCATATCTATGCGAACAAGCTAATTTTTGATTAACCTATTATGTACATATTAATAGAATTTCATTTATATAACGAAAACATAACTTTGATACTTAAATCACAGGATGATTCTCAATAAATCTATATATACATATGATAATCCGTTATTTACCAAATTAAACATACGTACTTAACTAAGCTAAGTAGAACCTAAAGATAAAGTTTTATACAACCTTTTACTGGGGTCTTACTCTTCTATGAGATGTTTTTACTATCTATTCACTATTATATAAAGCCATTTTCATTCATTTTTCAAATTTTCCTATAATTCGTTAATTTTGTTTATGTATTTTTTAAATTGATATTTTAGATGATAGGTTATTGACAAAAAATAGGAATTTTTTATGTAATTTTACTATACCTAAATAATTTTCGAATATCTCTTATACCCATCTAAAATGTTAAGGTTTTGATAATCCATACCAGTTTTAATTTAGAGTCACACTTCTTTAAGTAAAAAAAAAAATAAAATATTGCAGTTTAGGGAATTTTAAAATGCTTATTGTGAAATAAAGTAATTTGTTTTCCAACAACATTAGATAGAAAAGTGTAGATTTTCGAGCCTTTGATTTGTCATATTTTTTTTATGAGCCATGTGCTATGATTTGTGGGAACATGCATAATTTTTATCAAATAAGTATAATCGATATAACTGAATCAGGTAAGTCAGTTATGTAAGTTGATATCATGTTCTCATGGACTATTAAGCCCCTTGTCACTAAGTTCCTTAGCCACTTTTTTCGTGTAATTAATCGTGTAGAAAATTCAGTTTTGATAGCTAATAATATAATAATTTGATATTAATTAACATTATCGAAATCAGAGTAAAATGGACTATTGAAATATTGGTAGAACTACTTAATTTCGTGAAATCAAGCATATTTATAATTTAACCAAGTTTAGGTATACAGATGTATTGTATCTTTAATTATATTCTGAGTTAATCTCCAAACGAATCCTAAAATAAGAATGTAAATTTTTCAAAAATACTGCTTTTTTTAGTTATAATGTTGTGCATATATAATAAAATAAATTTATTTATTTTTATTTTTTTAATGTTTTGCTGAAAAACTAAAATTATTATTTTTATTTTAAGCAGAAGTGTGCATGAAATGAATTGATTAATCGAATGAAAATGAGTAACTAATTCGAAAAGTCAGATATTGCAAAGCTAGTGATCCTATAGATTCATTATATTACGATTGCACGCAAACCTACTTTGCGATGATTAATAAAATCTATTCCTAATTACTTTCATTTTACTTATCCTGATTTTTAGTATAAGACCAGGATTCAGCGTTGAAAAAGTGTGGTATTCATGTTTGAATAGAGGTGCGAAGCGTAATCTTGATTAAGAAGCGGAGGTTACAACAGTGAAACCAGATCCGTTTGGTTTACCATCAGCGATCTGCGGCGATGATTTACTCCCTGGCCGATTTACCACCTTCGGGGAGGATGTTGGCCACTGAATACGCTGCGCAAGTGCTGCAGTCGATGGGAGACAGCCGTTCGTTATCTGAAATGAAAAGAGAAATACAGATACAGTGGTGTGACGGATAGCAATAGATTACCTTAATGCACTAGCTAGAGTGGAGTCACAGGATTCATTTATCGGAGCCGGCAAAAAATAAATATCAATCAAAGCATATGAGAATCGAACCTACAAAATCCAGATCCAAGCACTGTGGGATCTTTGCTCCAATATGCATGTCCATCATATCGTTGAGTTTAAATTATGTAATTGGTCTATGTTAAATGAACCTTCTTTTCAGGGGCAAACAGCAGAGGGTTTCACAGCACAGGTTGCGCCATCAAAATTTTTGAGGGGCCACATTTTGACGGGGTTTCGAATTTTTGAGAGGGGCACATTTTGATAAGAGGAAAGCTCATAACAGACCACTGAAAGTATAATTCTATATGACCTTTTAGCTTCATCTTTCTTAAATTCTACTTTAGCTTGCTCTGTTTTTAAGAAGAGGAGAGAAACAAAATATCTTGGGAGGAGGGGGGGGGGAATGGACATCCCTCCTCCTTCTGTCCGCAGATTTATTTAGTTCCTTAATGGAGGACTAATAAATTGATCATTGGGAAATCGGGAATAAATTGACCATTTAAATGCTGATTTTCATAATAATTTTAAAGCTTATTAAAGGACTAATCTGGGTTAGATAAAAGTCATAGTCAAGAAAAGAGAACAGTCTCAAAAATTGCTTTATACGAATGTGAAACGGGACTCGAAGTAAGGTTTATAATTTTATAATAACCAGACAGAAGCTCAACATTGTTTTCCCTGTTGTCCGGCAATCCCGAAAGTTTTTCGGATATGTGTTTGTTGAAACAAAGGATAATTCGGACTGTCCCGAAATTCGGATTGCGTTCCAAAGATTGCTGGGTAGGCAATGAGTTCATCACACGGAAATCGAAAGCAGATAAAAAAAACAACTAAAAAACCAAAAAAAAAAAAAAAAATGGGACTTAAGAGAACAGCTTGTTTGACACAGTTCTGTTGTTTTCTAGCAAAATGGAAGTTCTAAATGTACATGGTAATCCAACGTTCTAGCCGTTAAACATCGCAGAGATATTTGAAGATATTTGTAGATAAAGGAGAACTAGCAAATTAGTGTTGAAAATAGACAACCGTACCTAATTTCTAAAATATATTTCATTTCAAAATATTAATCAAATTTCTAATTTCTTTTATTAATATTGATTACTCATGCTACTAACGCTATTGTAATAATAACCCATTAAATAAGTCTATTAAGAAAAACAAATCACACTTTTACATTAAGAGAATATAGTAATATTCAAGCAAAACCTATATATATATATATATATATATATAATATATATATATATATATATATATATATATATATATATATATATATTTTAATAAGCAAAGGATTTAACTCACTTGATATGTTAGGTACCGTGGAATCTGGACTCCTAGCCACGGGACGGAAAACTCCGCTACTTGTTTCACCTGGTGTCACTAACTCTGTAATACAACAATTATTAATTACTGAGATATATGTTTATTATATTATATGGATGTAATGTAAATATTATTAAAATTAATTGTAGTTATTAAGTACATATTAGTCCTTTAATAGATATCAAGGTCCAAAGAGAATGACTGGGTCATTACAACAGATTTCATAATCGCCTGGGTGGCAACTAGTAATCCATGACCAAGTAACTCCATAATTAAGGAAATGATAAACCTACGGTGAATTCATTCTGAAAAATGAGAGTAATATCCGTATAATATGTAGTGGTAACATTATTTAAAAGTTATTAAATTTCCGACAAAACAATAAAAAAAAATCGTTTAAATCAGACCAGTTTTAGCAACGTTACAGTCTATTAAATTTTAAGTTTACATAGTTTTAGATCATCAAAGAAATCGTACTCTTATGATTTCTCTGATAGGTTATTAGGAAAATGTGTCTAGTTGCATTATATTATTTTTTAACGAACATACAATATTTAGAATTGAACAAAAAAAAAAGTTTAAAATCGGTAGGAAAGTCATGTGAATGGACACACCAGATTTTTAATTTAAATAATTGGTACATTGTATAGATTATCTTTACTCTACAAGTCTTCCATTCCAAGATGAGGGCTTATCACTTTCTTTCTTGACAATGCCTTAATGTATTATCAAGTTAATTTTATTAATTTGATTGGACTTTATTATGTTTACGTCAATAAAACATATAAATGTGGCAATTGTGTAGGCAAGGCTCTTATGCAAGACCAAGAAGAGTCTAGGTCTTGCATTTGGGCAACACTATCTGGGTTATATCCCACTTCGGTACCATGAGCTATGAAAAAAGCAAACCAAGCTATCCCTTGGCTAGGAAGTGACAAGTAATACTTCACTAAATGGTATCTCATAAGAGAATTGTGTACATAAGTAAAAGAAAAAACTGTAAGAAAACTGGGAAAACAGATGGATGACAAAACAATTCAAACTATTACAGATAAAAATGGAGTACAATAAATGAGTAACAAACCATTGAAAATGGTTGTGGACATAACATAGATTACCAACATTATGGTACCTCTCTACCGAATCGTTCCAGCTGTTTCCCTCTTATTAGATTATTATTATTATTATTATTATTGAATTGATTTAACACGGCTATCAAGTGGAGGAGTCAGCACGACCTTGTGACCCATTGCGTGCTACACTCCTCGCCGCCCCCCTCATCACCCGGCCATATGCCGACTGGTGTTATCGTACACCCCGCAGCACAGGGGCTCAGTCATCCGAGATTGATCGCAACTGGGCGCAAATGCAACCCTAATCCAGGCCTATGCTGAAAGGACTCTCTAAATGGAAGTAGGGAAATCCGGAAGCGCTCCTTGTTCAATTAAACGCCTCTAAGACAGGATATAAAATCCTGATCGGCTTCCAGAGTCCCACCTCCTTTGAGCCTCCTGAGGACGGCGGCGGTTGAAAGAGCCGGAAGGGGAATAAATTGAAAAGAGGAACATTTTAAAGGAGAGTTAATTGGGGAGGAGAGAGGGGGAGGGGGCACGTGGCCGCAACTGTTGCAGTATCGGGGCCAATTACCGGAACCTGGCAAAGGGAATCCTCCTCTGATCCTCTTGTCGCCAATACTTACACAGCCTGTTTTATAAAAAGCTCTAATACCGAATATTTATTATTTTGATTTATAACGATACCAGGCAGAGATCGATTATTTAGGAGCATTGACCATACAACAGTTCTGTTTAAACGACATGACACCTCCCTGAAAAGTTTTGAGAACGGTAATCCATTAGCATTCACACAAGCTTATCCAAACAGAACAACATAAAAATAGAGTATATATAAAAAAAAAGATCGTTTTCCAAGCAAATATTTGTATTATTATTTCTTTGATATAAACTACAATTAACATTCAAAGCATAGTCCATTGTTATCTACCGTCATTAGTCATCTGCTAGCCAATTTATCAATCCCAGGATGATACCATGGCTGTCAAAGATCTCTTGGATCCAAATTTCTACTTCCGCAAAATAATCAAGTTTTTTCTCTTCAAGAAAATGGGCCATGGATCTAAATAAGTAGTAATCCGATGCTGCGAGGTCTGGACTATATGTTGGATGAGGTAGGAATTTTTTCAGGCAAGGATTTTTCCATAAATTTTCACAAATTTCGAACCTCTTAGCTGATTGCTAAGGAGTAAAGTCGTAATGGGCCAGTCTACTGCTCTTTTTCATCCACCCCATAGAGAGTATATCGCGACTAATAGTATCTTTCGACACGACTTCCTGCAGAGCCTTATCAATATCCATTAATAGTCGGCTGGAGTCCTTCTTTCTTTCCAACGTAGTTTTTCACTTCTAAATGTTTCCTACCAAAGCTGCGCAGTGCGCTGGTAAAGGACAGCTTTTCCTTCAAATTTAATAATTTAACGAGTTGCTTCCGCGGCTGTGATATTTTTTTTCCAGTAATGCCTTAAAATTACGACAATTTCGTCACCTTCATGTTTCTTCTTTAAAACTAATAACTAAACTGAGGCATTATTTTGAAGAAGTATAATACGAATTCGGTACCTTAGAGAATGCTCTAAAGAGACTATTAAGTATCGGTAAGCATTAGATATGATTAAAATATTTACAGTACTTTAAAATTTTGAATTTGATAAAACTGTCATTTTTTTTATAAACCATATTACGTAGGTCTGTTAATATTGTTCTGTATAATATGAATGCTATTTATTGTATGGCAGTGGTGGTTATTTAATTTTGCCTAAGGCATTACTGCCACGATCTTGAATTTCTTGATACACTTCCAAATTTCAGTTCATCATCATCAGTTTCCTTAATAACCTAATTCTTTTGCCAAGATTTTCATCAAATTAATTCCTTTTTATGGGAACTCGAATTTAACAACACAAAAATTAACAATTTAACAACAGTTGCCAACTACGGAAAAAACAACGCTACTGGTGTGTTTCTGAATGGTCGGTCAGGCCTTTAATAAAGCATGGAACCAAAGGCCTCCTCTTCAAATTCAAAACAATTCTACCTCAAACATATTAACTTATTCTTCATTCCTTCCTCTTTGACCGACTTTTCTAAAATGTCTTCAGCTCGACTAGTCTTAAAAGTAGTGTGACATCCCATGCAAATGTGATGTATAACTATTAGGAAATAATAAGCCACGTTTTTTAATATTCGTTGTATAAAAAGATATTCAATTACAAATACCACAATTTTTTTCAATCCAAACCAATAAGACACTAATAAGAGATGCTCCTTGTTACTCAAATATGAAAACCATTCATATTGGACTTACCTACGTATATGGACTAAATTATCTTTGGTTTTGTCCTTTGTTTGCGCTCAATAGACATATATATTACATAATGGCAAACATGAGAACATATAGTATATGTTATATAATGGCGTATTTATTTCTATCTCGACAGTAGAAAAGGTGAATGGTAACATTGATCTTAGACAATGAGCGCCGAGAGACCCTTGTGGGAGCATTGAATAATTGATTGAATGGGAGTGTGTTTACCAGGAGCTGGCTGGATAGCGTTAATTATCTTCCAACCGCCTGCCTATTCACCTCTGCCTGCCCTGTCCTCCCTTCATTAGTGGTAAGCGCCTTTGCCGTCAGATCTGCAAGCTTTTTTTTAGTATTTTTTGAGCTATAGTATTGAGCGGCACGGTAGATTGTCATATCCACTTCAACTACATTCAGTCAACTTAATCATGGGCTGTTTTTTAACAGCAGATGACATTATGTAATTTAAAGGCACTATTTCCCTGGTACTGCCAATAGCAGCAACTGTAGTCCTTTACTGCCATAAACTAATGAATTTTTTTCTTTAAATTACCGTGTATTTCTATTTGGATGTGTGTATTTCGCTAAAACTACGCATCTTAGCGGCCAATACCTTTCGCACTTAATACATTTTTTTACTACGTATATCAGAAAAAAATTATGGGTGATAAATAGTCAGGACGCAGTCATAAATTTTATTTTATTTTTGACATGTGGGTCATCTTCAGGGCGTGGTTCGAGCACTGAAGGCTTTCAAGTACTTGAGTAAAGCCTTCAGTGCTCGAACCATGCCCTGAAGATGAACCACATGTTAGTATGGAAACGTTGGCAAAAGTTATAATGACTGTATCCTGACTATTTATCACCCATGATATGTAGAACAGTTGACTAGCTTCCTTCAAGAAAAAAAATATTATTAATACCAACCAGGGGTGCCCATAAGGGGTTTTTATGGCGTAAGTTGCACCATAAAAATTTTTGAAATTTTTGAGGGAGCACATTTTGACGGGCTTTTGAATTTTTGAGGGGGCACATTTTATGGGTTATGATTCTTCGAAATGAAAAGTTTCAATTCAGGGGACAAGAGTAAAGCGTATAATAGTACACTGAAAGTGTAATTGTATATAAAATATGATTTTTAAAATTCTTCTTTAGCTTGATTTTAAAAAGAGTTTTTTTACAATACAATATCTTGGGGAAAGAGGGGAACGTTGATACTCCATTGACTTTGGGGGGAGGGGATGGGCACCTCTATTACCAACAAAATAATTTGCCGCCTTAACAAGCCTACTGCATCTCTGCCTATCTTGGGCTATTTCTTTCCTATTATATGCATGCAGTTCTATTGCATCTTTGTTGATTCGATCGATCCATCGGATTGTTGGCCTTTTACCTACTATTGAGGCATTCATTGTAGAGTCTTCCGAAAGGATTGCTCTGAACTAAAAGCTGTTACAAAGAGTTTCTATAAGTAGCTATGGTCTTTCTTCTCCATATGTTGGGACCCTGATCCCAGATCGCTCCGGTTATCGTAAGGAGGATTTTTCTTTCAATACTTTTTTCTAGGGTTCTGGTTAGCGTTCAGCACTCAAAACCGTATATTAGAACTGGCTATATCATAGCATTGTACACCCTTCATTATAGGCTTCTTGAGATTTTTTGGTATTTTAAGATCATTGAAAGAGAGAAGAAATCTTTATTTGCGCTTGTTATATGCTGGTCTATTTGCGAACGTTGATCATTCATTGAGGTAATTGTGGAGCTGAGGTATTTCAATAACTAAAGAATTTAGTTTATGAAAAATATTTAAGCACAGGTTGTATTTAAATATCTTAGTTTTAAATTTAGAAAGCGCATTAATAAGGTTAATTAATAAAAAAAAAATTATTACTAATCCTAGTTTCCATGGTAAGATTCTAGTGATATGATGACTGATGATAACTGACTGACATGATTGACACATATGTATATATTGTAAGCTATTTCTGTATTCCACTTGTCACATATGGAAGTAAAAATCAGCGAACGCTATGAGAAAATTATGACAGGAAGAATTAAACCCAATAGCACCTCTCTTCCGGTATTTGATTTTAATAATTTAAAAAATCATTTAATCTCTTTAATTAATAATATATAAAATATTTTAACATACCTCTCATAAAATGCAATTGCCTTGCAACGTGCTCACGATATAACTGAGGTGCGTCTAGTGGGAAATGTGAGGACATCCATTCAAGACTGCTTCCTTTCATTTCTAAAATAAAATAAAAAATTATATAAATTCTGTTTTTAATCTTTTTTTCAAATATCTTATTTTAGGTCTGAAAAATACCAAATTATACGTCATGAGACATTTATAAATATATTTTGGCAACGGTTTATTATTATTGATCTGTTCAAAGTTTATCCGATCAAAGCCGGATTAAAATTTTATTCATTGCTCTTAATTATGAAAAAAGTTTGTTCTCAATGGCTAAAATTTATCGGACTTAATTATCTAAATACATAATTATTCGAAAAAAACCAAATCTTCGATACCCTTAATACTTTCAGAAGACTTGTTTTTGTGTCGAGAATTCATTAAATAAATAATGAAAACTGATAAAATAAAATTTAGATTTGAATTTTCTGTTTGAGAAGCGAAAGCCAAACTTATGAAGAGTTGTTTACTTTTGTTGTTAGTTGGTGTTTTAAGGCGTAAAACTTCGAGATCATCAACGCCTGTGTTTATTTTTGTTAATCTGAACTTGATTTGAATTTCAACTTTTAAGTTTTGTGCAATAAGTTGTTTGATTTTAGAAAATGTAATATTAAATTTAGTACTACATATTGGGTGTGTGAGTCGGAAACTAGTTAAATTCCAGCTATAGAAGAACATTATTGAAAAATGTGGCTAACTGTAAGTGAACTATTACAGTGTTGGCATTTTGGTGGTGGCTGTTTGTTAATGAGATGTGAATAGGTAAGATTGGTGTGGCCAATTCTCAGTCTGGTCAAGACAACCTCCTCTCTGAGGATAGAGCGATTTGATGTTGACCACGGCTTTACTGTTTTTTTTTTTTGTTTTTTTTTTAATATTTTTCAATTTGCTTGACGAGCTCTCACTCCACTTGGATTGTCGGCTACAAAATATTTCTTTTTTGAGGGGAAGACTAATTTCTTGTGGCGTTAGAATAGCAACGCCCTGGAAAGGATATACAGCCGCTATATCTGTGAGCTCATTTCCAATAATTCCTAAGTAAAACAGTAACCAGACAAGATGTACTTTTTTCCCCCAATGTTTCGAGCATGGTTATATATGTATGAATTTTTAGGGTGTTTCGGATAGATTCTATTCATACTCTTTACAGAACTAAATGGGTTCATTAATTAATTATTATTCCAATGGTTTGTTTAAATACTTTGCTAATGTAAATATTTATGTTTATAAAATTTAAATTAAAAATAAATTAATAATGCCTGTTACAAATAATTTATTGTACATTCTTTTTTATAAATAAATTTACCTTCTGCTGTTTGGGGAAATTCCTTCTTATCCGCAGGCTTTGATGTACTATCTTCTATCTGGAAGAAAAATAAAATAGAATTGATTATAATTATTTTTAATATTGTTTTTGAATAAATGTCAAAATATGTGAACTATTTTTACATTCCTATTTTGGAAATTTCATATGAAAATATATTATTGTTTTCTTCTTTTATTGGGAACTGTCAGCTTATTAATTAAGAGGTTGGAAATAAAAAAACTTCCTTTGATGGAAGCAATTGTTATATTGGATGAATAAAAAGAAATGTCGTTTCATCACAATAGATGACTTTAACAAATCGTATCACTTGTAATCCTTATGCAATGAAGTCATTCTATAATGTGTTTGAAAGGCCACTCTAGAACATTCTATAAATAAAAATATCGCTAATCATTTACTCAGTCTACAGTTATTCCGCTTTAAAAATACAGGATCCAGAAGATCTTTTTCGTAATATTTTACAGCGTTTTTTCCTATTATCATAGCATAAAAATAAAAAACTTCTTAATACACAACTCGGTAATTTTTCAAAAATAAATTCAACAAGGCAAAATGTTTGAATCAATAGATAATATAGTTTTGTTTATATTCATATTAGATTCCATGATGAAGAAAGAGGTTTTCATATATATATAAACGGCAGACTAACCTTCATTTTATAAATTATACAGTTCATTTAAGTGCACTACTCGTTTCTCAAATTGTATAACGGTAATTTACAAGTATTCTGTGGTTCAGATTGTATTATTTATATTATAATATAATAAAGGGAGCGAAACCAGAGTTTGGACAAAATTTTAATTTTTTAAAAAATTTATAATATGCATCGCGTTCGAATTATTAAGTTTTCGCGATTACTAATTCATGATCCGACCCACGTTCTGTTCCGCGATAAGACCGTACATTATTTATAATGCTTTGCCAGCTATATCAAGACATGATCGATTTGATTTCGTGTTTGCGAATCCGGTGATGTCCAGGTATATTTATGAATATCCTTATGTTTAAACGTAGTACTTTTAATTATCAGGTCTTTTGAGATGGCAAAGTTTATCAGACGGATCCCATATTCATTACTATATTCGAGCAAACTTTCTTTACCAATAGTCCGAAAACAGACTTCTTCCCTCCCCATCTTTGCGTTTGCGTCAGCTACAATTATTTTCATCGAGTTTCGCGGTAGTTTATCATAAACCCATTCGAGTTTATTGTAAAATTCGCATTTGACTTCATCTTCACTGTCCTCGGTCGGACAATGTATGTTTATTAATGCGATTTTAAACCAACGTCCCTTCTGTAATTCTCTCACTAATCAATTGTACGTCGATCAAAGCGGATAGCAAACTATACCTAATTAGAAACTCGGTACCTAAACGAATGATTCCCGCTTCCTCCGTACCATATAGAATACTTTCCTTCCCTTATCGAGCCCTCTCCTGGCCAGCGAACCTCTTGCAAAGCCCGGAAATCCAAATTGTACCTATTATCCTCATTCGCGACCGATTTTAACCCACCTGCTTAATTCAAACTTCTTACGGTCCAGGTACCAATACTTCAATTCCTATTTTTTAACCTGCGCCATTAATCCTCTAAAGCAGTCCCCACTCCTGAGAGCCGAAAGGAGGACTAGTTTATCTCCGGATAATGAGTGTTTTATCTTAGGGAGATCCATGACTATTTGTGGTGTATGGTGAACTAAAGATATATGAGTAGGGCGTTCATCCTTCATCACACCCCAGCAAGTCTGGACTGTCCCTTTTGGACATTTTTGGTCAGCGAGTCCGTCGGACTGGGAGGAACTTCCAAGAAATTTCTGCAGATCATCCCCCCATCAGCCATCCGTGGGACGCTCCCATTACGCGGTAATAAGCCCGTTCCAGGCATTAATATTATGCTGAAATAAATAAATATTTCTCTAGGTTTTCCTCCAAAAAAGGAGTCGACAAACTTTAATTAAATTTAGTAGCGCTCTAGATCAATATCCACTGGCTTTAGTTCCAGTAAAGCGGTTGAGAGAGTAATGCAAGGCTTTTCTCTCTATAGTTGGAGGGACAAGCCTGCCTCAGATTGTAAATATGGGTATAGGTATGTATGTTTGTGTTTTTTTTTTTAAATTTATATATACTATAGTAACACACAAAAAAAAAAACACACACACATACATACCTATACCCATATTTACAATCTGAGGCAGGCTTGTCCCTCCAACTATATATATATATATATATATATATATATATATATATATATAATATATGATAAATACTATATATATAAATTTATAAATATACTTAACTTGTTCTATTTTATTAATTGTGTATACATTTTGATTATTATTTAATTATTTTGCTTCTGCTTAGTTTTTCTTACCTCCTTATAACCAATGTCCAAGTTTCAGAATATTGTATTATTCAATAAATAAATATTTAAAAAAAATTACATTAAGATCTATTTAGTTCTATGCACGATAATTTAAAGAGAAAAAAAAACGCTGAAAATTATTTCACAATGGTTTATTTCTTCCAAACAATTATACAACTAAAGTAAAATTACCTTCCTAGGTACAAAGAAAAATAAATGAAAGGTGATTCCAGTTATTGGACTAAACTTTCTTTTTTTTAATCATTAGTAATATGCTAAAAAAAAAAACATTACTTAAGTAACATATTCAAAATTTAAATACGAAACAAACGATATAACATTTCGAGTATAAATATAAAAAAAGAACTGAAGACCACATCTTTGCTCCTAATTGTCAGATTTTAACGATTTTTTTTGTTGTTTTTTAGAAAATTTCGTAAACTTTCAAAAAACTATACAATATCTACAAAAAAGTGTAAACTTTTTGAGTTATTCGGAATTTAATTTTACCATTGTTCGTAACTTTTTTTCAGCTTCTTTTCGTTGAAGTATGTTATATAGATAAATTTAAAGGGCATCGGGAAAATGACTATAGCGAAGTTTCATTCAAATCGGTACATTCGTTTAGGAGCTACAGTCTATAGCAATGTAGGTTTTTCGGCCACCATATTGAAAGTAAAAGCCGGGTACTAATGTCGATGAAGGAGGATCATCCTCCAGTGACCACTGATTTTATATCCGAATTTGAAAAAAAATCGGTCCAGTAGTTTCGGAGAAAATGCGCAGTCGGCGGACGGATAAAAAAAAATTTATTCGTTTTTCGAATTCTACGCATCCTGAAACGTGAAACCTCAAATTTTGAGAAGGGGTTATGTTTTTGAATTTTTCGGTCGATGACAATGGTTGATTATTGAAAATAATAAACAAAAAAAACTGTTCGTTAGTTAAATTTTAAAAAAAGTTGATGCCTAAGGTAGACATCATATATCGTATGTTTGTCACGAAACGAACCGTGAAGAACAATAATTTGAAAAGCGGAGGCAGATGTTGACTCAATTTCCACCGCTTCCAGGAAAGTCATCGGAGGGAGATGCCTTTGAGGGAATACAGAGGGAGCTGACTACGCGTGAAATGGATCCCCTAAACAAAGCGGCACTCCCTTGACAAAATAGAATCAGGGACCTTATTTTATTTAATAGGTTTGGCTGCTGGTTATTTAGTTGCTTGCGACTTCCTAATCTTCTACGTGAGCTATCTTCCGGCCGAGGAACATTTAGCTCCTGAAGCACGTCGCACTGAGTAATGCCCCTGCCACCGGACTGACGGCTTTATCCCGGTCCTCAAAGGAGCCATTGGCATGGCGTACGTCTCATGCAAGCATCATCTTCTTCTTCAGGACCTCTCAGGAAAATCATCAATATAAGTCAAATAATATTTTGGTATAATTTTGAATCGATTCATAAATTTCAATAAACTTCAAATCACTGAACCAGTAATGATGGTACAGTATTTCGAAATCCATGTATTCAGAAATACAAAGCAGTGTTAATGGTATTATAGTATCTACTATATCTTTGGACCTGTATAACAATGGAACTTCCCTTGAAATCAGGAGCTCCCTTTTTCTAGAACTTATAAGAGGTAATACCATATCCAGGTAATACAAGTTCATTATAAGCCTTTCCTTCAAGAAGTGAAAACATTTAGCAGCCATGTTTTACTTCCACTTTTGTCAAAATGTGTTTTTGGTCTTAAAATCGCACAATGTTGCAGTTTGTTAGAAACCTTTCTTATACGATTATTTATACCTTTTGTCAACTTCATATTCGTAGTGGCCATGTTATTTATAATTGTATTAGGTGTCCTTGCAAGTTGTCGTTGTTCGTTTGTAATGGGTTCGTATGTGTTCTTTAACATTCGGCATATGAAGGACAGTATGTAAGGTTATGTTGCTAACGTACCAAGGTGCTTTTGTAATTGTCCTGAATATTTTTGCTTGAAAGATTTGAAGTTTGTTTAAGTGAGTCTTTTTAGCAGTTCCAAATATATGTGATGTGTAAGTCCAAATAGGTTTTAGTAAGTAATCGTATGTGTTCAATTTCTGTTTAAGTTTTAATTTTGAATGTTTCGAAAAAAGTGAATTCAGAATTCTTAACCTTTGATTTCGTTTCTTGATTATATGTGAGCTCACGTCATTTTTCTGTCAAATATCAGACCAAGATTGTGAACGGTGTCTTTAAAGCTGTATAAGAAGTAGATCGTTGAATCAACAATTATTTTAAATTTAATTATAAATTAATGCAACGAACCATTCAAAATCAGATGAGGATCGCATAAAATGTATTTATGTCGGCCGGTCTTTAAAAGTCATCAGATCATTTCGGGTTTAATATCGCGACCCGCAATCCCTCTCATGGTAGAGCGAACACAATCCAAAGCCGTAATAAAAATTGATGGAACGAGATAGGATGCAGGTTGAAAAACGCTGTTTCGAGGGGGTTAAAAACGAAGTAAAATGGAAAACAGCTTTATAGCGGAGGGGGAGGGGAGGGGATGAAAGTGGTTTTAAAAAAACAATCAAGCTGAAGCAGAGGAGAGGGATTGTTTCCCGTATTAATGGGCTAATCCTGCAGATTTAACAAACCCATCCCGAACAATATCCCCTTGTGTACTCAATTAGTTGATTACACACAAATAGGCCATTGAAGCGGGAAGGGGCAGGCCCGAGGGCTATGAAAACTACCAGGACAGCCAATTCAATTAAAGCCTATTATGTAATAGAGGCTTCATCCCCGACAATGGCCGCTTTAAAATTAATCAGCGTAGCCTCTGCTTCGCTCTTCATAATTCACTGTTTCCTTTCCTGCGCCCTGTCCTCTTCCTCTAATATTTTATTTATTCTATCAATTCCCTCATTCAGGAGCCTCCCGCCCCGCCCCATCCTCCTCGGTTTACCGCCCGCATTGTATCCTTTCCCGTACCGGGCATGTCCCGATACATTGGCCATGTCTGGTGAATATTGTGCTCGAAATCGTTCAGTTAAGGGATGAAGAACTGACTTGAAATAATATTTATTATTTAATTGAATATTTAATAGTTGACCATTACATTATAAAGGAAGAAGATGGGCCGGGGTGGCAGTCATAAATAGGCTAAATAGTGCTAAAACTATTTTATTAAAAGCCAACATTTCGACCCGACTTCGCAGGTCTCCCTCAGGGCTAGAACGGAAAAGATTCAAAAAGATAGAGAATTGTGGAAGTTACACAACATTTAGACAAAAAATTATAAACAATGTGAATAAGCTTATTAAAATTATAAACAGTGAGTACATTAAAATATGAACAGAGTAAGCTAAGTAACAAGATCCTAAACCGAAGTAAATAGATGCTAACAATTGTTGTATTGTAATATATGTATAATAAATGCTAATGTGAATATACTTCTACAGATCTAGAGGAGAGATTGAAAGGAAAGGAAAAATAAATAATATGAAATAATAGACATAAATGAATGTGGAGAAAGAAAAGATAAAAAAAAAGAAAACCAAAAAATTTAAATAAATAATTAAATAAAATTAGAAAACTAAAATTAGAGAGTTACAGGTGTGTTCAGCTAGGAGTTTCACTCTATCCTCTATTATTTCATATTATTTATTTTTCCTTTTCTTTCAATCTCTCCAGTAGATCTGTAGAAGTATATTCACATTTGCATTTATTATACATTACACTACAGCAATTGTTAGCATCTATTTACTTCAGTTTAGGATCTTGTTACTTAGCTTTTAGCTGTTCATATTTTAATGTACTTACTGTTTATAATTTTAATAAGCTTATTCAAATTGTTTATTATTTGTTGTCTAAATATTAAGTAACTTCCACAATTCTCTATCTTTTTGTATCTTGTCCGTTCTAGCTCTGAAGAAGAGATACAAAGTCGGATCGAAAGTTGGCTTTTAATAAAATAGTTTTACCACTATTTATGACCCCCACCCCGGACCATCTCCTTCCTTTAATATTGATTATTATTTTTTTTTTTTATTTGTATTCGCCTCTACCATACAGGGTCGTTGGCGGTAATCCTTAATTTTTATATTCTCTTATAGTGATTTGTTTCCAATATATATTGGAATAGAATGATGAAATCTTCCTCCTTGTCTCCCAAAATATCTATCAATGTCGCCGAAAACTTTAATTTCATTCTCTTTTTTTTCATATTGGTGGCACTCTTGTAATAGATGTTTAATTGTCTGAGGTGTGTTTTCACACTTTTGGCAGGTTGGCTCTTCGAGACATCTAAGAAGGTGTGTGAAAAGACAGTGTCCAATTCGCATTCGCCCCAATATTACTTCTTCCCTTCTCGATTTTCTGGAGCTTGTGGTCCATGTGTTGCACTCGGTAAACAATTTATAATACATCTTATTTTATTATCTATTGTATATACTTTTGATTATTATTTTGTTTCTATTTATTTTACTTTTTTTGTACATATAGTGTGAATGTCATCCTACCTCACTATAACCAATGTCCAAGAGACAGATTGATGTAATACTCAATAAAGAAATAAAAAAAAAATTATAATACAGAATAAATAATTTGTCAATCAGTACTCAGTACAGTACCACTGAGCTACCACACTCCCCGTTATTATTTTTAAAGTGATAAAAAATAAACTTGATAAAAAAATAAAAGATTTTTTCACTAACAAGGGGAAGTCACAGACAGTGGCTCACCGTTTTCAACCAAGTTTTTTTGGTGATTGCACATCGAAACATATTGAAAATTTTAGCAAAAATATTGGTCCGATTTAACTACACCTAGGTGTAGCTAAATTGGACAGATACTTTTGCTAAAATGTTCAATATTTTTCGATGTGCAGTCACCAAAAAAACTTGGTTGAAAACGGCGACCCACTGTTATTACAATCCGTCCTCGGACCCTTTTTGTGAATCGGAATAAGAATAGATTCTTTCCATTCTTCAGGTAATTTCTCGTTCACCCAGATCTTTTTAACCAACCGATGTATTTTAGAAACTCCAGCTTCCCCATGCCTTAATTAGTTCAGTAGGAATATTATCGATTCCCGCTGCTTTATATGATTTTAATTTTCCGATAGCTACTTCAACTTCCTCTTTACTTGGTCCTTCTATTAACGGTTCAGCACTCTGGTACTCAGAAGGAGGACACAGATCATAATTTCCCGTATTTAAAATATTGTCAAAGTGGTCCTTAAACTTATTCAATATGTCAACCGGATCGGTCAGAATATTGTTATTATCATCCCTAATTCCAGACGTTACGGGCCCTACATATTTACGTGATCTGTTTATACCTTTGTACATGTCTCTTACGTTATTTTCGATTCTATTAGTTTCTATTTCAATTATTTTATTTTTAAGATACTCCCTTTTTTTATTTTTGAGCAATTTTGTCGTTTCGTTCTTTGAGATTCGGAAGTATTCCAGATTGTCTTCGCTAGGATTATTTAGAGCTTTTAATTTAGCGGCTTTTCTTTTTTCACACATGTTTAAGCAATCTTCATCAAACCACGGTTTGTTATTCTTATTTTCCTTTTTTCCTAGACACGAGTTACCGACCGCTTTAATATTATCCTGATCTCTATCCATAACTTGTCAATATCCTCGTGGTCCTCGTCAGGAAGCTCTAAAGCTTCAAACCTATTCTTAACATCTAGCTCGAATTGGTTTCTAATTGATGGATTTTTTAATTTTTCCAAATTAAAATTCTCAAAATCGAAACGGTTTTCTTTTCTCTTTTTTATATTAAGTTTTTGTCGAAGTTTCGCGATTACTAATTCATGATCCGACCCACATTCTGCTCCGCGATAAGACCGTACATTAATTATACTGCTTTGCCAGCTGTGTTGTATCAAGACATGATCGATTTGATTTCGTGTTTGCGAATCCGGTGATGTCCAAGTATATTTATGAATATCCTTATTTTAAACGTCGTACTTTTAATTATCAGGTTTTTCGAGATGGCAAAGTTTATCAGACGGATCCCATTATCATTACTATATTCGTGCAAACTTTCTTTACCAATCGTCGGAATATAAACTTCTTCCCTTCCTACCTTTGCGTTCGCGTCACCTACAATTATTTTCATGTAGTTTCGTGGTAGTTTATCATAAACCCATTCGAGTTTATCGTAAAATTCACTTTTGACTTCATCGTCACTGTCTTCGGTCGGACAATGTATGTTTATTAATGCGATTTTAAACCAACGTCCCTGAAATGTAGCTACCGAAATTCTATCACTAAAGAATTGTACGTCCCTCAAAGCGGATAGTAATCTACTCCTAATTAGAAACCCGGTACCTAAACAATGATTCCCGCTTCC